TTAAAGTCAATATAAATATACCCTATTTATTTATATACCTACATATGAATACAAATACGGTACATACACCAAAATAACATTTTTTACAATTTTTGTCTGTCTGTTTGTTCCGGGATCTCTGAAATGGCTGGACCGATTTTGACGGGACTTTTATTGGCAGGTGATGTAATAAGTAGTAACTTAGGCGACTTTTATTTTAGAAAAATAAAGTTAAATTCCATGCGGACGAAGTCACGGCTACAGCTAGTTGTGTAATATATGTAAATTAAACACATAACTTACTCTTCATCATTATTAGAATGCTTCCGTTTTATTGCTTTGGTATTTTTATCTTTAGTGGTGGCGATAACACTTCTTGGTGCGACTTTAGTAGGACCTTTCGATGCACCTTTGTGCTGTGCACTTTGTTTCTCAGCTAAAGCCTGTTGATAGAGTTGCCATTCTTCTGCAGTCACCTCTGCTGACCCTAAAATAAGAATTATAGTTATATGAACATATTATGAAGTCATACGACCTCGATGGTCTAGCGGTCAAGCACACCGCTTTACGACCGATGGTCGCGGGTTCGATTCCTCGCACGCCACAAACATTTGTATCCATGAGTATGATTGTTTGTATCTGTCTGGGTGTTTTCTATGTATAATTTGTATGTATTTACAAAAAAAAAATATCTATGTATATGTATCAGTTATCTAGTACTCATAACACAAGCTCTAGCTAGCTTAACTTGGGTCTAGATGGCGCTGTGTGAATTGTCCTGAGATTATTATTATTTTTTACAAAAGAAATCTCATCTCCCCTCTTAAGGGAGGGGGGGATGGCAACTTACCCCCGGCACAGTCGGCCGGGGTTCAGGGCCCCAGGGAGAGAATTATTATTATACTATTATTTTATTATTATTTTTTATTATTATTATTATTTTTTTTTTTTCATTATTTTTTCTCGACTTTCGCCGGTAATCTTGTTATGTACGGGCCTAAGCCAAGTACATAACAATGTTCTATTTCAGGTGGATATACCATAATACAAATGTAGGCCTAATCTGTCTGTAGAAACTTTCTAACAATGCGGCATGTGTTTAGAACTACAGCACCTAGAACTATCTGTATAAGTCTGTAGTATTTTGTAAATGAATCAGCGTGGAAGACGTCCACTGCTGAACAAAGGCCTCCCCCAAAGATCTCCATGACGATTGGTCCTGTGCTGCTCATATCCCGCGCCTTCATGCAATCTTGACCATATTGTCGGTCCACCTTGCTAGAGGCATTCCCATGCTGCGTCTTCCGGTCTGCGGCCGCTACTCGAGGACTTTACTGTCCCAGTGCCTTGTAACAAATGTTTAAACCTTACCTGCAGTATTCATGTGCTGCTGTGCCAACTTGAGGGCGAGCAAATACTCGGGAGGCGCCTCCCATGTCACAACGTTGGTTTGCTGGTTCCAGTAATATGTGAAGCCACTGCTCTCGTCGTAGCATGCTGACCATGCTGCAATTTATTTAATTAAAAAATTAAAATAGGGCTAAGCAACTGAGAGCTTGATAGCGATACCTGAGAGAGATACAACACATTGAATGTTGGTAAAGGAATTCAAAATGACATCTTGTTCATTTAGATATTTATACTGCTTAACATGTTTATCACCATAAATAATATCAGAAGAATTTTCACCTAGGCTATGGTAACTTTATTAGTTAAAAATTTATCAAAGAAACTTAATGTATCACAGAATTCTTTTTTTTGCCAAAATTCCTGGAAAAACACTATTTTTTATATCACACATATACTGACATGGCCCAATATTAAAACTTTTTTTTCTACAAGCCTTGTCAGTCTTATATGTCTGACGCATCCAAACAAGATACAACAAGTATTAACCTGTTGTTTTGAACACCGCACCTTCTACCAAATCGCGTATGTCAGACATATATGTCTTACATGGCTCATGTAGAACTTCTTAGCGTCAGAACCATATGACTGACATGGAGATTAACATGTTAAATATTAAAAAAAGACACATAAACATACTAGCACAAAGAAAATAAAATAGCTTTAATTATAGAATTCTCAAGTTCTATTGAGCAAACTAGATATTGCAAAATATTTGAAATAATGGATTAATAATTGCTTTGAGTCATGCAATTATCATTAAGAAATTTTAGATAGATATCCAGCAACATGTTCATAACCTTATTTTATACTGTCTGCAATCTTTTTCTGTACAAATTACTTATTTATCTCGCTTCAGCTTAACTTGAATAAGATGGCGAGATATTGGATGCCCAAGAAAATGTACCGTTTTATAATGTACACTAATTACTTCATCAACAAAATACATTTTACTACTACTAACTTTCGTAAATTAATGTTTAGTTTTTACTTACGACAATATTGTACTGGAGCGGGGTGAATGGACGCGGACGCATGTGATACCATCGAAGGGCCTTGAAAAGCTGCATTCTTCATTTTAACATCATTTGCCGACTTTACTGGAGATACAGCATCGTCGGAATCCTCATCGGAATCCCCATAGTTACCAATTAAGCCGGCCAAAGGGTTGGCCATTTTGTGAATAACATTAATCACAATGTATGTTTCAATACGGTTATCTTTACACAGTAGTACAGCTAAATAGAAGTTACAAAGAACAAACGTTATACTTAGATAGAATATTTGGATACTACACTATACTTTGAAGGATAGAAATTATCAATAAATTATATTTTTCTTAAAAATATCACAGCACTACATCAACGGTATTTGAGAAAAAATATGTCTGCTCAACAAGCTGTCATCTCAGCGTCAGCAAACAGTATGTTAAAGTTGTCAGTCTTGACTGTCAGTCTTCCTACAAATCTGTCAATCAAACCTTTTTTTGGTGTTTTTTTAATATCTTTACGACTTCGGATACTTCGTACTGCACATATTGTTATCAACATTGTTACTATTTACTACTCATTAGGCAATAGCTACAAATTGGTAAAAAAACACTTCGGTTCACAAAGTATTTAATTTCAACCAACATAATTGTACAATATTTTGTTTTATTACTATAATATGCATAATAAAAACGAAAGTGAGTTTGTTTCATTTATTACCTTACGGTTTACTAAATCAATATGTGTATGCTATTTTATTATTCAACATTTTAGATGAAAAAAGTATAGATATGGGGTTGCCAGGTGCTATAAAAAATATTTTCATCCTATTTAATGTAAGTCCCAAGAATAAAGTAAAAAAATAAAACAGTAATATCGGTTATACAAAACAGTTTATTATTTAAATATGTCTACATTGTAAACTGGTACAAAACATTAAAAAAACATAGCTTTCGATTTAATATAAATAATATCTACATGACATATTATTTATTATTGTAAATAGACTTAATAATAGGTAAATATGGTATGTAACAATATATTAAAAATACCTATTTTAATTGGGAATAGATGTCCATTGCAAGCACATCTATTCTAAAAATCTATTTTAAAGTAGTATCTATTTTAAATTGTACAAACATCACTAAAAATTATATATTATTTATGGACAATGGTAACCATCTTATAATTAAACCAACATGTTTATTTAATTAGGTACTTATTGCTAATATTTAATATTAAGATACATTAAAGAAATTATTACTAATATTAATATTATACTAATTGTGCATGTAATGTGTTTTCAAAACATTTCAGAACAGGTTAAGGTCGAGTGGCACCCTCTTTGTTTTTTTATACTACGACGTTGGCAAACAAGGATATGACCCATACGATGGTAAACAGTTACCGTATCCCATGGACGTTTGAGATACCAGGGGTGTCACGTGCGCGTTACCGACTCTTAAGAAACCTTAATATACTCTTCTATAATATACATAGAAAATACCCAGACCGATACAAACAATCATACACATGAATACAAATGTCTGTGCCGTGCGAGGAATCGAATCCGCGACCATCGGAAATAAAGCGGTGATCTAAACCGTTAAACCACCGAGATATTCGCGAAATAGAGTTTTGTTAAAGTTTGGAAGCCTACTGTTGACTTCTCGGCGTAGTGTTGCCTGTTCGGCGTAGTGTTGCCTGTTCGGCGTAGTGTTGACTGTTCGGCGTAGTGTTGAGTCCTAATTTAGTAGCCGAAGAGTCAAGACAATATTAAGTAATGAAATGGACTTGGTGGTTGGTAAAATTTATGTATATTTTTTTCATTAAAAAATATATACATAAATATCTTAATTTTAATATGAAATTAAAGAAATTAACTATAGCCTTAACTAAGAGGCGACCCGACTTAAAGTGGGGCAGTGCTAAAAAGAAGAAGGAGAACTATTTCCTTAATTAAGAGCGGACCCCACATAAAGTGGGACAGTGCTAAGAAGAAGAAGAACTATAGCCTTAATTAAGAGCGGACCCCACATAAAGTGGGACAGTGCTAAGAAGAATAAGAACTATAGCCTTAATTAAGAGCGGACCCCACATAAAGTGGGGCAGTGTTAAAAGAAAGAAGAAGAACTGTATCCTTAATTATGAGCCTACCCCACATAAAGTAGGAAAATGCTAAGAACAAGAAGAAGAAATGAATCCTTAATTAAGATCCTAACACACATAAAGTGAGACAGTGCTAAGAAGAAGAAGAACTATAGCCTTAATTAAGAGCGGACCCCACATAATGTGGGGCAGTGTTAAAAGAAAGAAGAAGAACTGTATCCTTAATTAAGAGCCAACCCCACATAAAGTAGGAAAATGCTAAGAACAAGAAGAAGAAATGAATCCTTAATTAAGATGCGACCCCACATAAAGTGGGACTGTGCTAAGAAGAACTGCATCTTTAATTATGAGCCAACCCCACATAAAGTAGAAAAATGCTAAGAACAAGAAGAAGAAATGAATTCTTAATTAAGATGCGACCCCACATAAAGTGGGACTGTGCTAAGAAGAACTGCATCTTTAATTAAGAGCCTACCCCACATAAAGTAGAAAAATGCTAAGAACAAGAAGAAGAAGAAATGAATCCTTAATTAATAATTTAAATACAGCTATATTTGTCGGAGATAAATGCTAAATAAAACCAAACGGAAATAACAGCATTTTCTAACAATAATAAAGTAATATTTCATTAGTTATTAATTATTATAATAACACGACTTCATTGACTTAATATTAAGTGTTACCTATTGAAAAAAGTAGTAGAGATTTAGAACTTTTTGTCCGTCATACTCGTGAACGGGTGTTGCTTCTAAGAACTGGTCTGTTTGCATTAAGACTAATAATTAAATTACTTCTTTTTGATAAAAATGCAATAGCATATGCTGGTGGTCACTATATTCTCTCAAATTGAATTATAAAATGAATCTGTATTTTTGTAACCATCTCATCTGAAAAGAGTCTGCGCTGAGTTTCTTGCCAGTTCTTCTCAGCTCAAAAGCACTTCGAACTGACGGTAGATGTAACATATCATAAAAGTACGTAATAAACCTACATAAATAAAGATATTTTGATTTGATTTGTGTACTTACATTATTTTCTGCGCTTTAAACAAGAATCGAAATGTAGTCAATTGCTTATAATATAATTAATTATTTAGACTGAATGTATATTTACAGTTTAATGCGTACAAAATTAGTACAATGGCTTTCTTTGATTAATTACTAAGTATCGTAAGACTTTTACTATAACAAAATAGGGTGTTACCGCTTCACAATACAGGGCTCACATGAACCAGGTTTGAGGTAAGCGGGGTGGCAATGCGGGCAATTAGGATTCTCCCCAAAACTAGCTCTCCCAGGTCTTGAAACCTTTACCTGGAACGACGTTTCAGCGTTATCCTCCTCATATCCTGGATGTGCTTTATCCAAGGGAAAAACATAATCAGGTACGAAGTAAGAACTAATATTGTACTCTGTGTTACTTGGAGTGGGATCTACCGTTACGGGTGGAGGTCGTGTAACAGAACTGAAGGGACTACGCCCCTGAATGACTTTTGGATTTTGTTCAGCATCATCTGTAGCGTTGTTCTGCTTAGGGAGATCGAAATCGAACGCGGGTACTGCCCATTTCCACTCATAATAGATCGGCGGACCCATAGTTGATGCTGGTTGCTCAGAGAAATCAGTTTTTGGCGGCAATAAATCTTTTTCCGGTAGTGGTACTTGATTCACTTTTGGTTCATTATCTGTAGACCTAAAAGATGGTTCCGTTGTAAAAGTGGACTTTATATTAACAGAATCAAATCTAGATTTTTCTGAAAAGTTCTTATCGTTGTCCTGCTGAACTGTATTAAAGTTTCCTTCATTTTTACTCTTCCGTGGAGTTCTCTCGTCTTCGGAACTTACTTGACCAGCTGGCAGATGTTCATTAATATTTATTATTTCGGATCTGGTCATAGCTGTTTTATGAGAATTCGGTGCATTAGGATCGAAACGTTTAATGAAGTTGTATACTGGATCTTCTGATGAATCTGTTCCCATTCTGAGATCAATATTCATCTCAGCAGAAGTGGAAGAGTCAGTTGTAGTCGAGAATGGAGGTAGTAGTGGATTTAAATCTAGAGTTGGAATTTTATTATTAGGTTTTCTGGTAGTTTGCGAAACAGATGCTTCAGTATCCTGAGGAGTGCTGAAGGTTGGTGTAAAGGTTTGTGATGCAGCACCAGCTATATTGTCATGAGTCTGCTCTTGATTGACGACCGGCTTGTTATTTGAAGATTGACCTCTGTCTCCGACGCCGGTAGACCATGATGTTGGAGGTCTGTAATTCTTGCCGCTATCTAAACCATTGTTGTTAACATTTGATATTGTATCAGCAATGCCGACGATGCTGTTTCCTGGGTGGACCGGAAACTGAAAAAGGAAAACAGTTTTGTTTATTTGTTAGTTCGTGATTTCTATTTACTTTCTCTTAATTTTCAGAAATGGTATTTTATCTAATATCATATATCATATAGATCATAATGATACATTTACAGATATCATAATAATCTCAGGACAATTTATACAGCGCCATCTAGACCCAAGTTAAGCTAGCTAAACCTTGTGTTAGACATTTTTTTCGTAAATACATACATATTATACATAGAAAATACCCAGACCGATACAAACAATTATATTTATGAATACAAATGTTTGTGCCGTTCGAGGAATCGAACCCACGACCATCGGACGTAAAGTAGTGTTCTTAACCACTAGACCGCCGAGGTGATCAGTTTGACAATTAAAAAACAACAAAACCTAATTCAACTCAAGTATAGATTTACATTTTTTTTATTGGGTTGTATGGGCTATTGTCAGGTTTAGCACCTGTAGCACTGCGAACTACATAGATCTATTGTGCTCGCCCTTTTCAGAGTTCGCTACCTAGACCCGTCAGGGACAAGAATTGAAGGATATTCTTAGGAGCGATCGTTTTTATCTCCTCTGGAAAGAGTGTAAACTTTCCAAAGGGGATATTTCGTTCATGAATAAATGGGCTACAACCACATAGAATATGCAGTATACATTTACCTTAGACTCTGCTTCTCTGAGTCCATCGTAGTAGTTGTTGTTGGGCGGTACAGACAAGATGTCAGGGCGTGGTGTGCGCAGGCGCATCTCCTCTTCAGATACGAACGGTTTATCACGCTGACCTGCAATGTAACAATCATATTGTGATTAACACATGTATATATAATATGTGTCACTAATGTGGTCCATATGGTTTAGCACATTGCCTTACATCTGACGGTCGCAGGTTCTCCTTCTCATACAGTACAAAGATTTGTATTTATGACGACATTTTTTTTAGTCTAGGTGTTTTCTATGTCTTTTCTTTCTAACATTGATATCTATATAATTTACTAGCTGTACCCGCGACTGCGTTCGCGTGGAACTTAACTGCATTTTCTAAAATAAAAGTAGCCCAAGTTACTCCTTATTACATCAGCTACATGCCAACAAAAGTCCCGCCAAAATCGGTCCAGCCATTTCAGAGATTAGGCGAAGCAAACAGACCTAAAATATGGTCGAGCGCAGTGATGGCTGGCTCATCCGTCATACTCGTGAACGAGTGCTGCTTGTAGGGACTGGTCTGCTCTTATCACTACGACTGATTTAATCTTATTGCAAGATTATATTTGACCCAAAAAATTAGTGCTTGTTGGTAGTTTGTATTCACACGTTTCGACTTGTAAATGTAAACTTACAAGGATTATTTAAAAGAGCAACACACAAGTTTCTTGCTCGTTCTTCTTGTGATGAGACAGCTTTCCGAACGAGTGGTAGATAAAAAACAAATTGTTATGACTATTCAAAAGTGCTTAAATTAAGTTTATTTGAATAAATGATTTTCTATTCTATTCTATTCTATTCTACAGACAAACATCGTAAAAAATGTTATTTTGGTGTATATACCGTATTTATATTCATATGCATATAGTAAAAAACGGTTATTTCAATATTACAAATAGACATTCCAATTTTATTTAATGTATAGACTAGGTTTTGCCCGCGGCTTCGCTCTCATTAATTTATCCCCTTAGGGGTGGAATTTATCAAAATCCTTTCTTAGGGGATGCCTACGTCATAGTAGATTTATGCATGCAAAGTCTCAGCTCGATCGGTTTAAAATTGACAAAGTTTCATACAAACTTTCATCCCCTATTTTATCCCCTTGGGGGTAGAATTAATAAAAATCCTTTCTTAGCGGATGCCTACGTCATAACATCTACCTGCATGCCACATTTCAGCCCGATCCGTCCAGTGGTTTGAGCTGTGCGTTGATAGATCACTATGTCAGACACCTTTAAGTAATATATATATACATATATAGATATTCTCTAACATTATTAATTACCAAAAGGTACGTACATAATATTGACTTTTGATACCTATATAAACATCAATTACGTGTTAGCAAACAACATTTGGTATTTGACACCTCCAATATTGAATGAGCTGTTAAATTTAGCGCCTTTTGCTATTCAGTTATACCTACATTCTATAAAAAAAAATGTTTGATATATTTCTTACATAAAGATTATTAAAGTTTGTTTATCATTAATTATTAATAAACAAACACATTGGTAATCATTAAGTATATTGCAAACTTTTATTCATATTTTCCCATTTTTGCGAATTAAAGTGCAGAGACAGGTTTTTTTTTATCTACATACTATGGTGGCAATCAAGCATACGGCCCATCTGATGGTAAATGGTTACCGTAGCCTATGAACGCCTGAAACAGGTGAAGGAAGATGACACAACTAGTCCAGTGGTGTACAAATGTACATGTACAAATTCTTGCGTTATTTACAATAGTTGCATAGTTTAATTATCTTATATATAAAATTCTCGTGTCACAGTTTTCGTTCTCATACAGGAGTATTTTTAATAGTTTACCTGGTCAGCTAGTATATATACATTGTGGTCGTCGTAATATGTTTTTCTCTTCCATTCATCTCTGTTCGCAGTCATCTCGTTATTTACTCCCTTTCTTACCATATCATCTTTCACACAGTCCATCCATCTCTTTTTCGGTCTTCCTCTGCCCTTATAACCATCCACATTCAGATGTAACACCTTCCTTAATATATGATCTTCATTCCTACGCATTACATGTATATCTTATATATAAAATTCTCGTGTCACAGTTTTCGTTCCCATACTCCTCCGAAACGGCTTGACCGATTCTCATGAAATTTTCTGAGCGTATTGAGTAGGTCTGAGAATCGGCCAACATCTATTTCTCATCCCCCTAATTGTTAGGGGTAGTCCACCCCTATTTTTTTTTTTATTTTAAGGCAAAACAACGTTTGCCGGGACAGCTAGTTATATAAAAAAATAAAATTAAATGTATGGGAAGAAGCGATTAGATCCCAATCTGACAGGCTTGTTATAAGCAGTCCACAACGTCGCTAGGCAACGGTGTGGCCGCGCACTATCCGTAAATCGCCACAAGTCTATCACCCCCTCATCATCATCAATTCTTTCACTCAAATTCATATCACGAGAGAATGGTTTTGTCTTCAGTTTCTCATCATCATCAATTCTTTCACTCAAATTCATATCACGAGAGAATGGTTTTGGCTTCAGTTTTTTTATGACCGGCCTGACTTCAACCCTCGTCTATCACCCCCTCAAAGGGAGAACAAATCCCTCAATATATAAGAGATATATATAAAAAAATTGTTTTTATAGCTGTAGATAAAGTAATTGATTACACGATATTTTCGTTACTTAATTTAATGAATTACAGTTTTAATAATATATTAAACTAGTTGTACCCCGATTTCGTCCGCATGGAATTTATTTTTATAATAAAATAAATTATTTTTTCTAAAATAAAAGTAGCCTAAGTTACTCCTTATTACATCAGCTACCTGCCAAAAAAGTCCCGTCAAAATCGGTCCAGCCATTTTAGAGATTAGCCGGAACAGACAGACAGACAGACAAAAATTGTAAAAAATGTTAGTTTGATGTATATACCGTATTTATATTCATATGCATGTAGTAAAAAACGGTTATTTCAATGTTACAAACAGACACTCCAATTTTATTTATATGTATATAGATTAAACTCTAACTTAGTATTTTCTTTATTGATAAATGTTGATTTCTATAATAATTACGGATATATACGGATGGACAGATTTACTTATGTGTAATTTATATAGTTTGTAAACGATTTACCTGGTGTTAATGTAAAAACCCAAGTTTACACACATACTAATTATATACCTATAGATCTACTGATGATATATATTGGTACATCAGTTTTTTTCTTTTAATTTTTTTTTTTCGGACTACTCTAATGCTTTTGGCCTTTACAGCTTCACCGGACGTTAGGGGCGAGTGCAGATTGCACTCCAAACCCGCGGAAGGACTTATGGAACGGCTGAAGGCCAACTCCCGCCTGACGGATACGACTTTAGTCTGAGGGCACCGCTAGGGGTTCGAACCTCGGCTCAGGCCGTCGTAATTTCGATCCCCGTTTGAATTGGACGGGGGATCGATCGGAGGGGTAGGGTACATCGGTATGATCATAGACAAGTACAGTGTTACTGAGGGATAATTTAAGAAAAATATAAACTAGAATTAGAATAGAATAGAATAGAAAATCTTTTATTCAAATAAACTTAATTTAAGCACTTTTGAATAGTCAACATTTTTTTAAATCTACCGCTTATTCGGAAAGCTGTCTCATCACAAGAAGAATAAGCAAGAAACTTGTGTGTTGCTCTTTTAAACAATCCTTGTAAGTTCACATTTTACAAATCGAAACGTATGAATACAAACTACCAACCAGCACTAATTTATTTAGGCTCAAATATAAAAACACAATAAGATTAAATCTGTTGAAATTGAAATGAAAACCTAAATAATATATTATAAATAATATATTTTTATCAAAACAATATACAGTATCTTAACAAAAACATATTTACGTAACAATATAAAAAAAAAATCTCTTTGAAATAACTGCTTTGCAAAACTGGTGTTTACTAAAAAAATCATATTGAATAATGTAACTTCATGTTGTGGTATTTGAAATAAAAAGTGTTTAATACTGTTTTGTTACAAACAAAGGAGTTGTAAACTATTGAAATAAAAAAAAAAATAAGTGAATCTTACCGCAATACATTAGTGTAAACCGCAACTGAATTGGTTAAGCCGTTTCTGAGAATACAGGACAAACACACACACACACCTATACTTGTAATATTTCTGTCAACACTCGACACCCTTTCATTAGTACCTTTCCACATAACATAGATTTAAGTCCAGTGTAAAGTCAGTCCACGTTATACTGCTACATTCGACGCGTGTTGTAACGTGGACTGTTTTTTTTCGGACTACTCTAATGCTATATAATTGTAATATACTTGTAATATTTCTGTAAACACTCGACACCCTTCCATTAGTACCTTTTCACATAACATAGATTTAAGTCCAGTGTAAAGTCAGTCCACGTTATACTGCTACATTCGACGCGTGTTGTAACGTGGACTGTTTTTTTTCGGACTACTCTAATGCTATATAATTGTAATATACTTGTAATATTTCTGTAAACACTCGACACCCTTCCATTAGTACCTCTCCACATAACATAGATTTAAGTCCAGTGTAAAGTCAGTCCACGTTATACTGCTACATTCGACGCGTGTTGTAACGTGGACTGTTTTTTTTCGGACTACTCTAATGCTATATAATTGTAATATACTTGTAATATTTCTGTAAACACTCGACACCCTTCCATTAGTACCTTTTCACATAACATAGATTTAAGTCCAGTGTAAAGTCAGTCCACGTTATACTGCTACATTCGACGCGTGTTGTAACGTGGACTGTTTTTTTTCGGACTACTCTAATGCTATATAATTGTAATATACTTGTAATATTTCTGTAAACACTCGACACCCTTCCATTAGTACCTCTCCACATAACATAGATTTAAGTCCAGTGTAAAGTCAGTCCACGTTATACTGCTACATTCGACGCGTGTTGTAACGTGGACTGTTTTTTTTCGGACTACTCTAATGCTATATAATTGTAATATACTTGTAATATTTCTGTAAACACTCGACACCCTTCCATTAGTACCTTTTCACATAACATAGATTTAAGTCCAGTGTAAAGTCAGTCCACGTTATGCTACTACATTCGACGCGGAGTTGTAACGTGGACTGTTTTTTTTTTCGGACTACTCTAATGCTGTTGGCCGCAGCTGGCCTTTACACCTTCACCGGACGATAGGGGGTGAGTGCAGATGACACTCCAAACCAAGGAAGGACTTTTGGAGCGGCTGAAGGCCAACCCCCGCCTGACGGATACAACTTTAGTCTGAGGGCACCGCTAGGGTTTCGAACCTCGGCTCAGGCCGTCGTAACATCGGTCCCCGTTTGAATTGGACGGGGGATCGATCGGAGGGGCTTATCCCTATCATTGTTAGTTTTGCCTATATAGATTTAGTAGGCGTTTTGTTAATTATTGATTCCAGATTTATTCATCTGCGATTTTGTTAGTTGTAAACTTAGCTATAAACAGTTATAAACGTATTGAACTATATTTTGTGAGATTTTTGTTAATAATAATAATAATCTCAGGACAATTCATACAGTGCCATCTAGACTTAAGTTAAGCTAGCTGAAGCTTGTGTTATGGGTACGAGACAACTGATACAAATACATAGATTTTTTTTCGTAAATATATACATATTATACGTAGAAAACACCCAAACAGATACAATCATACCCATGAATATAAAATGTTTGTACCGTGCGAGGAATCGAACCCACGACCAACGGCCGTCAAATGTTAATGTCAATATTTATAAGGTTATGTATTAACTGCAGCCTACACACAAAATTAAGTATTAAATATTTTTTTATTCAAATAATTAATTCTTACATACTAACAAGTTCACGAACGCTAAAAGCTTCCTAAATTAACAAGGAAATATTTGCATGTATATATATATATATATATATATATGTATCTTCTTAAGTTATCTTATTAAGAATAATATATATATATATATATATATATATATTATTCTTAATTATTGTGGGGTCACGCAACGCCAACATCGAATGTTTGGCCCAATCATAGGTTATTTATTGGCGATCATCATATACAGCGGTCAAGCAGCCAAGTCAAGGGCAAGAATCATTTGATTATGTCTATTCACGTAACTAACTCATGTGTTTAGTTTATGATTTACTAGCTACTCGTCCCGGCGTTGCACGGGTGTACATGTATTATATAATAATAATAATCTCAGGACAATTCACACAGCGCCATCTAGACCCAAGTTAAGCTAGCTAAAGCTTGTGTTATTGGTACTAGATAACTGATACAAGTACATAGATAATTTGTTTTTCGTAAATATATACATATTATACATAGAAAACATCCAGACAAATACAAACAATCATACTTATGAATACAAATGTTTGTGACATGCGAGGAATCAAACCCGCGACCATCGGACGTAAAGCGGTGTGCTAGACCGCTAGACCACCGAGGTCGTCATATATTGTTAAATATATCATAAATTTCATATTTCAAAACGCGCTGGTTTATATAATCAATAAACTATTGTAAATTCATAATCAGATCAATAAACTCATTTCCCGCCATAACATCAGAATGTTGAACGTCACTTCAATAAAGCCTGATGAGATTTGATTGACACTACTCATTGATAAAGTCATGACTCGATTAATCAACTATTCGATGTACAATGAACGAATTGAATCTAATCTATCGATCGCAGATAATATGACCAAACGTTCAAAAAAAAAATAAACACTCTAATATGCCACATCTAGTACATGATGATCTGATACATCTGTGTACATGTGAACCCAGTACCGCTGAGGCCATCTATGCGCGGTAAGCAACCAATAAATGTTATCATTTATGCGGGTAGTTACTGCGTAGACTTTGTTACTGCACCGTCCGCATTATATATGTACACCTTCTTTTGTATTTCCACTAATATTTAATTTTGTATAAGTTTATGCTTTTAGTTCTCATGTTAAGTGAATTATTTGTAATTCTTAATGAGAATAAATATCTAAAACCTAATAAAACGTTCCGTTTTGAACGAGACTGTCCCGTTTTATAATTATGATTCCTTGTGACTTCGATTTGAACTCTGGGACGAAAAATTGCCCAGTTTTCGGAGATCTGTTTGGCGCGAAATTTAAAGTCATGCTCGCTTGTGATGATTACAGTTAGGGTGAATATAAAAAAGACATGCAAAGTGTTTCGATCTTATTTTAAACTAGCTTTTGCCCGCGGCTTCGCTCGCTTTAATTTATCCCCTTAGGGGTGGAATTTATCAAAATCCTTTCTTAGGGGGTGCCTACGTCATAGTAGATTTTTTTTTTATTATAATGGAATGGTGCACCTGCCTGCGCTAACGGTTTACGCTGGCGGGGCACCAGTGGAAGATGATAAGATGAGCATGAGGTCAGGTCAGTTAGCCCATCATGACAAATTCATGGTTCATAGTAGATTTATGAATGCAAAGACTCACCCCGATCGATTTCAAATTGACAAAGTTTCATACAAACTATCATCCCCTATTTTATCCCCTTGGGGTAGAATTAATCAAAATCCTTTCTTAGCGGATGCCTACGTCATAACATCTACCTGCATGCCAAATTTCAGCCCGATCCGTCCAGTGGTTTGGGCTGTGCGTTGATAGATCACTATGTCAGTCACCTTTGAGTTATATATATATATATATAGATATACACCAGCTCCTTTTGTTGCTCCGATATATAAGCAAAAACCAAATGTTTATCGGGTATATTTTTTTTAATCGTAACTTTTTCTGAATCTGTTACTTCAAAAAACTATTTATTAACGACGATCTCGGTACTGTAGCAGTTTAGTACACAGCTTTAATTTCGATGGTTCGATTCCTCGCACGCTACATTCATAAGCATGATTATTTGTATCGACCTGCGTGTTTTCTATGTATATTAATTATTTATTTTAAAAAAAAATTAAGTATGTATTTGCAGCAGATGTCCAGTACCCATAACACAAGCTCTGCTTACCTTTGGACTAGATGGCGTTGTGTGAATTGTCCAGGCAATATTATTATAAATTGACCCAAAAACTAATATCCTGTTTTTAGTTAAAGAATAAATGGTCATTTATTACAGATCAAGTAGAACAATATGAAAATATTAATAATTTTTAACTGTATACTAGCCAATTCCCTATTGTGTGGCTGACCTACGTTACATAAAGCGAGGTAGGTGGAACTATTTGCTGTGATTATTAGCTATCCTTTCTCCTGTCTATATAGATTTATTTCTAGGAAATAGAATGGGGTCACTAAGATAGCCTATACTTAGACAAAGTCTTGTTACCTGACGTAATAGCGAAAGTAGAGTCAAAAAATTGCATTGTTATGCATTTTTGTTCACGGTTTTGTTCTAGATCGTCTAATAACCGCTTGCGGGTGATTTATGACATTTGCCTCAAGCTGTGCTATGATTTGTAGCACAGACAGTAACGATGTTATCTACAAATATTACTGTTACATTTGACAAGTCTTAGAAGAATAGAATAGAAAAATATTTATTCAAATAAACCACAATTCTAACACTTTTTAATAGTTTTTTTTTAATCTACCGCTCATTCGGATAGATGCCTCATCACAAGAAGAACGAGCAAGAAACTTGCGTGTTGATCTTTTGAATAATTATTGTAACTTTATATTTTTATATTCAAATGTAAGAATATTATCTATTAAGCCATTAATTCATTAAAAATAAAATATTAAACACACAATAAACTTGTTAAGTAACTAAATAAGAATAATAAAAAAATTATAAGTAAACAATATGATTTTAATTATTTGTTTATTAAAACTTGAATGTATAAATACACAAATAAAGGTGCATAGTGCGGACTTAACATCTAGAGGCATTTTATATAAAAGATGATTTTTGATAAAAAAAAAAAATAATAATATCTCAGCACAATTCACACAGCGGCATCTAGTCGCAAACTCTGCAGAGCTTGTGATATGGGTACTAGAACAACTGATATAAATACATTTTTCTTTTTTTTTTTTTTTTCGGACTACTCTAATGCTGTTGGCCGTAGCTGGCCTTTACAGCTTCACCGGACGTTATGGGGCGAGTGCAGATGGCACTCCAATCCCGCGGAAGGACTTATGGAGCGGCTGAAGGCCAATTCCTGCCCGATGGATACGACTTTAGTCTGAGGGCACCACTAGGGGTTCGAACCTCGGCTCAGGCCGTCGTAATTTCGATCCCCGTTTGAATTGGACGGGGGATCGATCGGAGAGGCGCCCGGGGGCGCCGGTGTGGAGCGCCCGGGCGCGCGCAGGCGCCCGGTTGAATGCGCGATATTGTGTGTTTGAGGTCGTCGTCTTCGCCGGCGAGGACGGTGTCGTGTGTGTGTGTAAAAGTGTGGTCGGGGTGGAACGGGTGGGCCCGTGGGCTATAAATACATACATACATATGTTTGTAAATAATATACATAGAAAACACCCAAACCAATATGAACATCCATACTCATGAATACACATGTTTGTAGCGTGCGAGGACTCGAAGCCGCGACCGTCGGAAGTATAGCGGTGTGTTAAACCACCAAACTACCGCACCGATATATGTCATGAACAATTATTGAAATACATAAATCTATACATATTCAAATTTAACTGATTTTACGATATTTTAGGATATACGACACATCATCATCATCATCATCATCAGTCTAATTATTATAGTAACATACAACTATATTCGTACCAAGAGTAACCTGACATTGAGGGTAACGCAGCTGAAGTCGAGTCACAACGCGAATTTCAAAGCGTTTGTGGCCCTGGTCCCCACCGACTTGTTGCCCACCTTCATGAAAGAGGACTACTGGCCGAAAGGGGTGGTGTATCGGCGCTACCGTGGCAGATTGCCGTCTTCAGTGCCGTGATCACACAGACAATATCATTGTATTAGTTTTTAAATATTATATTATATGTATGTTAGTCTATAAGGTATTTATGTATAATATGGGCCTAGTTGCCTGAAATAAATGAATAAATAAATAAATAATTCTGCTTACCTATTAGAAGGTTGGCGTCGTAGTCGCTCTCCGACTTGGAGCAGTTCACCATGTACCAATGGTCGCAGATCAGCATCCGTTGCTGGAACAGCGTGGTATTGGGGCAGGTGTAGCTGAACTGGCGGCCGAGACCATCACACATGTGGTATACCTGGAAACAATAGATTTTATAAGTCATTCACAATAACAAACTGATTTTACCTAAATGTCGTTTGGCTAAAGTTAGTAATTCGTTTTATGGCAATTGCGTAAGGTTTTACAATAAAATACCAGAGTCTGTTATAAATCTGCCAGAAAAAAGATTTAAATGACAAATAAAACACTTCCTTTGCAAAAAAGCTTACTATAAAATTGAAGAATTCGATAACGATAATAATGTTTTTGTAGAAAAATTTTAAATACATAGCACTGACAATATTATCTGATTACACTAATAAGAGTGCGTAGCGATTTCTATGTTGATTGTCGCATGCCTCTTACTTGTTACACTGTAATTATTTATATAAAAAAAACATCTATTAAAAAGAGCAACACTCAAGTTTCTTGCTCATTCTTCTTGTGATGAATCTACATTCCGAATGAGTGGTAGAATCAAAATATGACTATTCAAAAGTGCTTGTAATGAGTTTATTTGAATAAAGATTATTTCTATTCTATTTCTATTCAAGTACAGTGGAATCCATCCATGGGGATTCATCCCCACACGCTGGAACCTAAGTGGTCTGGGTAGAGGTATTAATGAGATAGTAATGAGCGGTAGAATAAAATATGTGACTATTCATAAGTGCTTATATTAAGTTTATTTGAATACATATCATTTCTACTATATTTCTATTGCCATCATGTTGAATGACATCGAGAGTTGACAATACCTCTGACTGTTCATGGTTGTTAGGTGTTACATATGAATAGATATGAGGGCAGAGGAAGCTGAAAAAGATGGATGGACTGTGTGAAAGATGATATTGTAAGAAAGGGAGTAAATGACGAGAAGACTGCGAACAGGGATGAATGGAAGAGAAAAACATACTACGCCCCAAATAAATGGGATAAGGAAGAAGCAGATGATGATGATATCATGGTGAATGCTCATGGTCCATTTCACTGGGTATACTTTAATCCAACGTGGTAGGGACTCAATCCCAACTTGCTAGAACCTAAGTGGTCTCGGATAGTGCGTTTTCAGAGGAGCTTCTTTCCGCGTACACTTAGATTGTGGAATGAACTTCCTGACGAGGTTTTCCCACGAGACTACAGCATGGGGTATTTCAAGAAGGGTATATTAAGGTTTCTTAAGGGTCGGCAACGCGTATGTGACACCCCTGGTGTTTCAGGCGTCTATAGGCTACGGTAACCTTTTACAATCAGATGGGCCGTATGCTAGATTGCCACCATCGTAGTATAAAAAAAAATCCCGATTATCCGGATCAATTAAAACCCGGGTATTCCGTATAATCGAAAATCCGGATAACCGAATTCGAAGCACATCAACAATATTTAAATCTTAATAATTTTTCATTATGTAATTGGTTTTACTTAGATAATACGGTATATAAAAATCGAGCTATAACGATAGAAAATTTAAAATTTGGGTTAGTAATAACTTGTTATTGATCTTTGACGTAATTATTTATTTAGTGTATTTATTTAATTAAAACAATATAAACTTACAGCTAACTGTCAACATGTTTATATTTTAAAACTAATGAGTAATGAATCACATCTTTATAATTAGAGAGTCCGGATATTCGGGATTCTACTGTATTTTTATTTTATTTTAATAATAATAATAATAATAATAATAATCGATGAAAATGATATAACACCAGTCACACCAGGCACACAATAAGTACACACACACTCACACATACATACACGCGCACACACACTCTGCACTTACTTAGTTTCGGCCCGTAAGTGTGGAGAAAACCAGCAAAAGCTGACAAAAAATAAAGAATAATAATAATAATTATTATTATTATTACTATTTATTTATTTGCTTGCTACACGGTAGTTTCGGATCTTATTAACTAATAAAAGTACATGAGATGCAGCACCCCTTAGAGGTATGCAAATATTAAAATTAAAATTAGTACAGACAGTCTATATATCAGACGGTTATAATTACATGTATATATATATTAATTAGCGGCGGCATAATCGCGATGCCACCAACATCACGTGACTCACTATGGTTTTAAATTTGAAATATAAGTAACAAACTAGTCAACTGAGTGTTCTTTATGTATTAAAGATAACATCTGAGTGCTGAAAGGTATTTGATAGAATTAAATATATTAATACTAGCACGAGAAACCGCGGGCACAGCTAGTGTAGGATAATTGAGTATTCATCTATTCTTATAAATACCAGTCAATCTAAATTCAGAAGCCGACCCTGAATGTCAGTCAAAATTACTAATTGCAGCGTGAGACTTGGTTTCAATCGATCGATTAAAATATTAATTGGTTATTAGGTTTTTGCATCGACCAATTAGCCAGTAACACGAATATATTGCTGTTTAATGTCATATATTTTAAATTTTAATTGTAAGTAATTACGGAATTATACGGAAAAATTAAAAATATATAATATGTATCTAGCGTTGCCAGACGTCCCGTATATCCCGGGACGTCCCGCATTTTAGGCGTGGATTAAAATGTCCCACCGGGACTGACTCTGTTCGGTGTTCGAATCGTGCTTTGATTTTTATTATTAAATCGATCGATCTACGTTAGACAACACTACTCACGCACGTATCGGTAATTAAAAAAAAGCGAGTTGATAACCGTTTTTAATTACGATTATAATTATATATTTCTATAAGTATGTTAAAACCAATAAAAATAAGTTAAAGCTGACTTGCTCCTCAGAAAAATATATAAAAAAAATAAACAATGTCACTATTTAATTTTGATTTTTATTTGTCCCTAATAAGCTAAATTCCCGTATTTTTTTGCCTATTTAAACATTTACACCTTATAGGCTGCAAAAGAATCTGGCAATTCTAATCATAACAATAAATAATTAACAAATTAAAAAGAAAAAATGATATTGCATTGCATGCGTATACAAACTGTTCTTTATTTAAAAATTTAAATAAAAAACGAATTCACTCTTCACAATTTAGTTGACAGTTCCCGCCATTTCATAATACAGACTGCCAATCTGTGTTATTTATTCTGTGTATTTTGCACAGAGTACGTTATAACCATCGACAAACGGGAATAGCCATAATCACTACACAAATATAATAAAAATCCCCTGATATATACCTATTTATATTACATGAAGATGCTACGCACTTATAATAACAACATGATTATAACTGCAACCACATAATGTTCTAAAAAACAATACAAAAACTATAATAATATCTCGTTATTAGACTATTCTCAGCTGCGTACCATAGCCAATTGTTAAGTTTTTACTTTGGAAACAATTTATTTTTAAACAACTTAACTACATAAGTATTGTCTATGAAACAACTAGTAGCTGATGAAATAATAGAGCAAAAAGTCTATAATCGTAGCATGCAGTCCATACAATTAGTGTGATTTCCAAAATGGTCGTCATCCGTCGTAAATATCGCAATTATGTTAAAAATAAAGTTTTATATACACGATAATAGATAACATTAGAAATACTTGACATTAGGAATCATCATTTCAGTCCTTCGAAATATGTACATTCATGGAATAGAAATAGAAATAATGTTTATTCAAATAAACTTAATATATGTAAGTAATTTTAATTGTATAGGGTTCTTCGGGCCGAGTGAAACAAAACGAATTTCGATACTTTAATATATTTAAAACATAGGAACAATATTTATTATGATATGTTTGTAACAAAAGATGCCGGCTACCATAAACAAAATCTCAGCATAGACTAATAAAAGTAAAACACACAAAACAAATCATCTCCAAGCTTGCTCTGCGACCCATAATACGCAAAATTTAAAAATTTTTAGGCACCGATTTGTAAAAGTTTTTCTGACATATCAAAGATAATAAAAGTAAATAGACCTATCAATCAAAACTATGTTATAAGATCAACTGAATACGGTTCAAAATGTCAAAAGATCAAGGCTTTATTCTACTACCGCATTCCGAGTGGAGCCAGGTCGATAGCATTGTCACGGTTGTTATGGGAGACTACAAACATAGAGACACACATTTAATTTATGTGAATAATAAATGTCTTCATCATTACATAGTATAAAACAAAGTCGCTGTCGCTGTCTGTCCCTATGTATGCTTAAATCTTTAAAACTACTTGAAATTATCTATTGAGTTAGTGATTACACTAGATGTAGTTATGCCTTGGTCTTCCCTTTCCCCTCTTTCCTTCTATATTTCCCTCAATAATAATCGATCGTGCAGTATCAAGTGACCTAACATATAAGAGGTATAACCTATTTCAAAAGTCTACATGGCTTAGCTGCCATATATAAGTGTGTGAGCATAAAAAAACGATTAGCACTATTATGTTATTAATGCCTGCCCATTACAAATTATAATTTTACGATTGAATGACACTAGAAATTAACACTTGCGCAGTCGCAAAGGTCACGGACAGTGCCAAACTTGTTCAGTCAGTGGATCTTACTCGTTCGACGGCATTGTGAATGAAAGTGAATCTGTACTCTGTGCTACTTAACCTACGCTCCCGCGTACGTTATGGCGCGGTTGACAGATGCCACTTTTTGGCGCCTTTTATGCAAATTAAATGTTTATTTTTTGGAATTTAAATCATTCTGGTATTCTAGTAAATATAATTGAATATATATTTATGTTCACGAGTATATACAATTTGAGATCCCTGATTTCGTTAAAAATGGAGATTGTTCTAGTTTTTTCAAAATCGAAACTTTTGAGAAAAAGAGTTTTTCTACTTTTTTATAGGACAATTCACACAGCGCCATCTAGTCCCAAGCCAAACAGAGCTTGCCTTACCCTTGCTTGCTATAGGTACTAAACAACTGGAATAAATGCATAGATATATATTTTTTTTGTAAATACATACATCTATGTATATTATGCATGTATTTACAAAACACCCAGACTAATATAAACAATCTTACTTATAAATACAAAATGTTTGTACCGTGCAAGGAATCAAACCTTAATCAAACCAGCGAGCATCGGA